CTAAAAGTCTAACAGGAAGTGAAGTGCCTCTGGTTGCTGACAGACGGCATTATGGGAAACGTAGGAACTGAATAAAAATCAGATGGAGGATTCTTCTTCCTGTGTGTCCTCATTCTGTGGTCTGATTGGTTGGTTTACAGACAGACAGGTAGACAGAGGCAGCCCATTGGTGGGGGACGGTGGGCAGGTAGGTGGGGGTGTATGCTGATTGGTGGATAGCTTGGCATGGAAGTGCTCAGCATGGCATGGCGCCCCCCCCCCCATCCTCCTAACACTTCCCTCACTAGCATCTTCTATTAGCATTACACAGGTCCACCCACTGTCGACTACCACCCAAACTACACATCATTAAGAGCACAGTTCTATCCTGGGCAAAGTGCATTTTATCAATTCCAAGCTGGAAATCTTGCTATACACTAATTACTTTTTCGTATCCACACTTCGCTACATACCCAGAGTGTAAAAAACATTTGCCGAGCCAGTGTTATTAGTCTCCTCGGATTCCTATGAGTATAACGATTGGCATAGCAGTGCCACAAAGTGCTAGCCAACGGTTCACAACACCCGACCAGTCTACTCTCTACTTGAATGTCATTAATTTCGCACCCCTTTATTGGCTAGTTACATAACTGAAAGGAGGAATCAGGTACCGTGCGCTGCCCTGTCTGTGCCACTCGCACCATCCACTCGCGTAATCGCACAGACTCAACAGGTCGGACACTCTTTATGCCAAGTTTCATTCTCGGTTCCACGCCCCTCTCTCTTGACGCATGTCCTTTGTCACTTCTTGCAGTAGGAGCTCCGGCTCCGCGCCTGCACACTGCTCTTCGCGGATGCGGTGGCCCGGGAGCGCGCGCGCACGAAGGGACTTATTGTACAGTTCAAGACGAGTAGCAGAGTGATCACTATGGACTCTATGTATGAGAGGTAAACAGAGATGCACTGGCCCGTGAATGCCTTCCACTGCTTTGCTACGGTATAGCTTAAACAGCATGCTCATGGGCGTCGACGGAGTCCTGCTCCGCTCCTGCGGCCATGCCAGACAAATTCGGGACCTTGGTAGACAACGCTATTACCGAGCACAGATTTATAAAACACCGGAGTTAACCCATATCGCGCACATCTTTAACAGACGAGCAGCGTGTGAGTACACGTGGCGAGGGGGGGTCTTCGGAGACGAGCAGTAAAATACAGACGAACGTAATCGACCTATATTACATCCCAACTCCTGGTTTGCTCTACATAAAGCTTCACTTTCATATTTATAAACAGGTATAATTAAGGTATCTTAACCGGTACAAAGGTGACGGATCTTCTGCTTATAATACTGCCAGATTCTCAGGCAGTCAGTGAAGGGAGTCATTAGGAGAATTTTTAACAACATTCAGGGAATGTTTTAAACAGGTTAAATATATCACAGTTATATCCTTAATTGAATCGGATTTGCCTGGGTTCTTATTTTCTTGCTTAAATATTCATTAATTTTAGATCTACATTTTTAATACATTTACAACAATAATAAGACTGTATATAACATGTAATTGAAGCATTTTACACAGCATCCAGTTCCACTAGGGTCTACAGCCCGTTCAGGATGTCCATGCTGACTACTTTTTGAGTGCAATTCAAGTTAGAGCGATCACAGGAGATTCCCACTTAATTTAGTTCTCTATCGGAAGAGTTAGTTGACTTAAACACGAGCAAACATGTTTAGCAATAAACACATACTCAAGCTGTTCTAGTAGTGACTGCAGTTAGCTTCTGGAGGGAAGTATTAATCATATACGACTCACCACCTCAAAATGGAACTTCCAACAATCAAACTCAAAAATCTGTCCACTATAACGGTCACTATTTGGTTTGAAAATGGATTCAGGAATCTCTAATAACTAACCAAACACAGGTTCCATGCCACAAGTCAGACTTGGACTGCTGAGATATTCGTCATACCAAGCTGATTCTGGTGAATGCAATGGCCGGAGTGCGAACAGGAAGGAGAATTACCGCAACTAACTAACAGAACTGAAGCAGTTTCCAGTTACCTTATCGCAGTCCGGACACAGCTGCAGTTGTCGACAGGTATCTTATCCTTCTCAGGGTCATGCTCTTTCATGGTTCGCCTCATGGATGATTTTCCGATATGGTGCGATATGGCAGCTCTGAGATCTTGGTATTTTGGCGTAGCCTTGACCTTACCAGCATGATGCCAGGCTCGTTATACAGTATTGACACCCCACCCCACACCACAATCAAGAATTCAGATTATGAGCTCAAAACCAGCAGTTGACCGCTGAATTAGACATTGTTAACCGCTGGCTATCATGGCGAGATACTGATCACTGATGAATAAAAACTCTGTCTAACTATCTTTCATGCTTATCATCTCATGATGTTTGGTATAAGCCTATAACTATGAGTACATATTTAGGACTTTCATATAGACATAGTATAAGTATCCATAGGTCCTCGCGACACGTCACAGTGTTTGGAATAATAACCATCAATAGCTGAAATATTCTTTAAGAGCGAGCGCTGCTGGTGAAATATGCTGACTGTTAAAAACTGAAGGCACTTGAGACGAAGTCTGGAACGTTTCTGTAATTCTCACAGCTCGCCGTCCGTCTAGGCTAATAAACGCAAACTCCATTCAGAAAAAGCATTTTAAAAGTGGTTTGTTCATCTCTCTCCGCTCACTTTAGTGCCGACAGAGTCAGCCATCATGAACTGTGCGGTTTCATTTCACCGCAATCTATTGATCCATTTATCTGATACGTTAAAATAGCGCATAAGCAGCTGATTAATTTGGTTGCAGATGGTCCAAAAAACACGGTAAGATCTTGCGAGCCGTATTGTAAAACCACACTTATTATTAATAAATTATGAAGTTAACTTAATATTATATTAATAATTATATTCTGAGGAACACAGCCAGGTCACTGAATAAAGGTAGGGAAACATGCCGCCTAAACTGTTGAGCCTGTGGAATGGACACACTGGCTCCATTAATGCATCCTCACAATTGATCATAAACTGGCCCCTGAGACACAAGCGCTGGGTACTGAGCGCGACGCCTCAAGCCCACTCTGCTTGCCTCAAGTGATACTTTGTCAGGCATAAGGGGAAAAGTCCTGCAACCTGCCTTGCAGAACAGTTGTAGTCGCAGGTGAGAAGTCTGAGGGCCCGCTGCAGAATCAGCAGGTCATAACCACCCCTGAAACACAACAAGACACTGAGCAATGCGAAAGTCAAAAAAACACCGTGACAAGGAACGGCCAAAATGGGAAAACAGCGTCTGACACCGCCGCAGGTTCTCGTGGACGGCCTTCAATCTCGCTCTCCGGCTCGGATGAACGGCCTCTCGATCACGCGGTTCTGCGTCCTTCCTCAGAGGGTTCCTGCACTCCGCCTCAGCGGCTGAGCCGCTCCGAAATCTCATTGTACACAGATCTGGAGGGAGGGGTCAGAACGGAACATGGATCAGAGACCAGAGGACAAGACAGACGATGGAGGTCATGCAGCGTGGTAGATCACAATTTAGCTGCTATGCAGAAGAGTTATTATGCCTGTCAACAGTATTTAAACTAACCATTCAGAAACCACGGGAACATCTCAACGTACTGCAACAGCACACTACATCAACAACAAACCACCCTGTTAACAGCGGAGTCAACATGGGTGTCTCTCCCCCCCTGCCTGGTGTTTATCAGCCTCTCTGGGTTTGTTTCCAATAGCCGGTCGCTCCGACTGAAAACTGCGTTTTATCAAAAAATCTACGTCGTGAATTAAGATATTTCCACCAAACAGAGATTGGGATTGTTGGAAACAATAAAGAGGACGGTCTTATGAGTTTGACTTTCTGGTCATTTAAGAGAAGTTCACAATGAGCGAAATGGTTAAATGAGTGGTTTGTCTCTGAGTCGGTAGGTGATAGTGATATACCGTATTCGATAGAAAAGAGTCAGTTTCAGAAAGATATGTTCACAAAATCTAATTAAAAACATCATATGAGCATCAAACAAACAACAGCTACTACAATAAGCAGCAATCCCACAGGAGAACACACAGGAGTACAAGGTTCAGGAAGGCGAGACTGAAACAGGAAGGCTACATTAAAATAACAAGGTCACCAAACAATTGAAACTTTAACAATTGTAAGAAAAAGAACAACGGACATCACAAAGCATGTGTTTCACCCAGCTTAGCATAAAAATAACTGG